CAGGGGGCACACTCCCCTGGGCCCAGAAGGGTGTGGAGAGAGGATGACTGGGGCCCAGGACAGGGTTTTTCCATTCCCCTCCTGGCTTTGCAGGGTCCCCTATGAGTGCTGCCCTTCTTGACAGGGGGCTGGGCCTCCCCTCCCGGACCCTCCTCCTGGGCCTTCAAAGAGGCACTTGACTGAACAACAGAAACACAGCACAACTGTCACCGCCATGGGGCGCGGCAGGCCACACAGGTCATCTAGTAAAGGTGTTTCTGGCAGCCCTGCTTCTTAAAAAGAAAAACGTTAGGAATATATGACTGACCCAATCTATCTAAGGTATCGTCGCGGCAACATGCCATCGAACATGAATTGTTAATGAAACGCTTTGCATGCTCTTCCCGCTAGGCAGGCGTTTGTGCTCCAGCTCTCCTGTCCTTTCACGGGTCTCAGGTGCGCCCCGCCCCATGTCTGGTGCTCGGCCACCTCACAGGTCACGGCGCCACTCATCACAGTCACTCATCAGTCACTCATCACAGTCACTCATCACAATCACTCCTCATCACAGTCACTCATCGCAATCCGGCTCCAAGCCTCCCTCACTGCTGCTTCCTCATGGCTCAGAGGGAGGGCTGGACGGGCAGGCCACCTGGGTAGGTTCTGTCCCACCTCCTCCTCCTCCGAGGGTGACCTGGGAAGAGTGTTCACATCTCCAAGGCCTGCTTTCCTCACCCACACAAGTACTACAAGACCATGGACATCTCCGCGTGCGACTCCAGGACAGAGCCCCATCTGTCCCCTGTCCCCACCTTTTTTTCCCCCCCCCCCCCCCCCACTACTCCCTGCTGCTCTCATCCTCCACCCACACTGCCCTGCTCCCACCCGCCAGCCTTACCCTCACCAGGTTCAATTCCTACAGTTTCTCTTACTATTTTCTCATTAAGGAATTCATGTGACACCGAGTCAAACGGATCCTTCTCTTTCCTGAATTGCTCTGATGCTTGATAAAATCCCCTCCTCTCAGATTTGTCTCTGCCTCATCCTCCGAGTTTGAAACATGGGCATCTATTTCCCAGACGAGGGAAAGGCTTGTAAAGGATTGCTCCCTCCCCTCCACCCCAAGGACGCCAGTGATGCCGCGTTATCCATCACCGAGTCGTCGAATGAGTGATGTGCCCAGGGCCTGGCGTAATGGTGCCTAAGAATATGTAGCTTTTAGGAGAAATCTTCTGGACCCGGCAGCTAGTCACCATTGAGCACGTGACTCCAAGTGGCTGCATCATTGGAGACGGACATCGTAGTTAGTGCAACGCTACAGGGTGGCTTTGGTGTGACCATGGACAGTTAGAGCAGACTCCAGGGGTTGAGGGCACAGTCCCCAACAGGACTGCCCTCATTCAGATGCCAACTGCAAATTCAGGGGCCCCAAGGGCACCCACACTTCCAACCAACTGGCTCCAAATGTGAGGGTTTCTTTT